TTTTTTTACTGAAATCGTGATATTAGGTATGAATATGGTTATAATTTTTAAATAATTGTTATGCAATGTTTCTTTTGGTGTCAATGTTCATTGAATTATTCATTAGTGAAAAATCAAATAATAGGTGTCATATTTTTAAAATACACTGATTCTTTTTGTGCCAAAATAAAAATGTTAAAAAAAATATATTTAATTGTTATTGTGTATGCTGCTTAAAAACAACCTTTTTTATTTTTCAGGTATGGTGCTAAAGGAAGTCCGCCTGAAATTCCACCCAATAGTACTTTAGTTTTTGATGTAGAACTTAAACATGTTAATTAAGTTTATCCAATATGTATTTTATTCTGACTGATACTCCTATGAATTTTTTGTTATTTACCATTCATTTTTTTACAATGACCACAAACAATGAATATCAGTATTCCGTTTTTGTTTAAAAAAAAATCAATCAAAACCGTAATTTTAATATAGCATCATTTTTTTTTAATTTGAAAAGATTTTATTCAACAATTCAAGTAAACCATTGTTAATATTATACTTCGTATATATTAATTAGCTGACAATTTTTTGCAATTGTAGAAAAAATGACTTTGTCTAATCTATTAAGCAGTAATTTACCAATTGTATTTGAATGACTTAATAAAATAATTAATTCATAAATTAATAATGAACTCAATTCATTTTTTAATTAAATACCTTTTGATCCAACTTAATTTTTCCTGAGTAATTAATTATCACTTAGTTAATAATAAATATTTTAAATAACATAATTTTTATGGATATTTGTAATGAATAAAATTATGTAAATTTAATTTTTCTAAGCATACAATTTATTGATAGTATATTGATGTTTAAGTCTACTGTATGAATTAAGTACTAAGGACTAATGTTTTATTTTTATTGAAGAAATATAACAAATAAATAGTTTTTATACCATTTTTTATTTTTTACACAAAATATAACTATTGCTATAATATTTAAATGTATTATCTCCTGCAGTGTAAATATTTATTGGCATTATAATTCTTAAATAATTGCTCATTTAGAAAAAAAGCATAACATTTAAGCTTTAATATTATATTATGCATGATATTTTATCCAACATATGAACTAAGGGTTTCATTTTTTTTTTTTGTTTAGTCTCACATTCTCAATCACTAAAAAGTGTTCTTTTGTGAAATAATATAGTGTTTCAGATCAGGTCTGTATTATTGAAACTAACATTAAGAATTCTTCCACTGTTATATTATAACCTTTAAAAGCTAGCCTCCAAGTCAATGCCATTTATTAACACCAGCTGTTAAGCCTTCTATACAGTGAATCATGACATCATTGTTTTAAAATTAAACTTTTGTTGGCATTTCTGGTAAGGTCTTATACTGGTTCAGTTTATACTTGACTAAAACATTCAAAAAGTGTTAGTTAATGGACATTTTTCATCTAAATTCCCAATAACCTCTGGTGTACCCCAAAGACATCATCTAGCTCCGTGGCTGTTAGTATTCTTAGTTGATATTGCTATTTGTGTTACACTGTAAATTTAAAATTTTTGGTGACGAACTCAAAGTTAATTATAGTTTTACACGTTTGCTCTACGTTAAATAACCAATTAAATAGATTTGTAAAATAGTCTTGGTCTAAATGTCTCAATTAAAATCTTGTTATGTAATTCTACAATAGTAGTTGTCATACGAGACCTTGGTGTAATTATCCATTATTCAACTCATATTGAGCATATTTGTCTACAATTAATAAATATTGGGTTTTTATTCTGATCAATTAAGTCATTTTAAAGAGATTCTGTGTTAAAATATGGATCTGTTTTGTTATTTAAATACTATAAATAATGTTGAAAGGGTACAAAAATTATTCATTTATTTTATTAGATACAATACRAAAATTAAAACTAGATTCTCTTTACAGTTGCAAAAAATTCTCAAATTTTACATTAGACAAATCTGTGTTATTGATTCTT